TCCAAAAAAAAAAGAAAAAAGAAAAAAAGAATCACATGAGCTTTCTTTGCCTAACACCACATGATTGGTAGCTAAACATGTTTTCAAGTGATATGCTTTATAAATGCAACATAAAATTGTCTTATAATTGCTGAGCTTGAAAATACACATGATGCTATTCCTAATGACATATGCACAACACTGTATATTTAGTAATAAATTACAGAGTGGCTCAGTCAGGGTGTACAAAAGCTACTGGGAGGGTAATGTATTTTCTGTGGGGTTTTGCTTCTTCATCCTAGAAAAAATTTAAATTAGAGCTTATATATGTGTGTGTGTGTGTGTGTATATATATATATATATATGTATATATATATATATATATAACATGAAACAACCTCCTTTAAATTACAAAGTTATGACACTGAAGTCTGACAAAATCAGCATTTCAGTAAAAATAAGTATGGGTATTTGAAAACCTATTATTAGATGAAAATTCAAAACTATGGTATGAGAAAAATGCAATAAAGGAATAGCATTTATAGAGTACACTTCCTGGACCAAAGAACTGCATAGGCATGGAACCTATAAAAAATGATGTAAGAATGCTTAGATTCCATTTTAGAAAAAAGAAACTGGTCCAGCAAACTTAAACATATATCCAAATACCTTATAGCTTATAAATGCTACACAAACAATACAACGTGTGCTTGACTTAGTCATCTTTTATATGGCAGAGAAATACTGAGTGCAAATTATGTGTCAGACATGTATTCAGAGTTGGATTTTCAGGGAATATAGATTGTTTCTGCCCTTATGGAATAGTATCCAGAGATCAGAATGGAAAAGATTAGAAGTAATGCAATCTTGATAGAAGATCTTTTCAATAACTCAGGGGTGTTGTGTCCTGGAAGTGAGTATTGGCAGTAGTGTTGAAAAGGAATGTGTCTGTTCCAGGGAATGTGGTGAAGTAGAATTTATAATTTTCAATTTCAAGGATGACAGAAAAAGAAAGAAACTGAAGGAAAAGAAAAAATTGGAAAAGGGATTTATTTTCTTTATGCTTATTTTTATAGATGAAACATAGCAGCCATCAGATAAAACCAGTGACCAATAGCAGAAAAAATATAAAGATTTCTTGACTAAAGGAAAAATGTTTCATAATAAAGATTATCAGAAAATGAAATTGGCAGCTTTGTGAAAATCCCTGCTGAAGGCATTTAATAAAGTGCTGGATCACCACTCATTCCTTTGTTGTCAAATTCGAGTACCCAGGAGAAGAATTGATCTTCCTGAGTGTATATTCTATTCCAACATGGATTTCATGGCTGTTACAGTAAAAATGACTTAGAAGTGTAGAGCCTACCTGATTCTGAAAATGGTGATTTAAATAAAACCTTGACAAGAAAGATGAGTTAAAAACAAACAAGAAACAAGAAAAACCCCACGGTTTTGGACTGCATGTTTGGTGATAGAAGGGTCAGATGTTGGGCATGCAGTGAGAAAGGTTTAGTTTGGATTAGATACCTATAGTATTAGAAGCCTACTTACGGATGCGTAGCTATCAATCAGGGTTTCTGGACCTCATTACTCTTCGTTGCTGGGGACTACTCGATGCCTTGTTGGATTAGCTACTTTCCTGGTTTACTTGATGCCAGTAATGCCAGTAACTTCTCCCACTCTCCCAACATGTACAATTGAAAATGCCTCCAAACATTATTCAGTGTCTCCAAGGGGACAAAAACAGCCATCATTGAGAACCACTGATATGGATGCGCACTAGCTCCATTGTGTCTATTTTACTTGCGTGTGGAGAGAAATGAGCCCTAAAGTAAGCACAGTAAAAAGGTAGGGTGCTCCTAAAAGGAACTAAGATTATTTTGTGGGGGATCCACTTTATTTGTGCAGATGCTTGATTCTGAGACAAAAACCCCATGTGATCTAACTTGGAAAACTTTAAGTTCCCAAGCCAACATCTTTCCTACGGCATGGGCCCAGTTAGTATTTGTGGAATTCAACTGAGTTACTCAATGGATGCCTAGAAAGCAAAGCAACCAAAAAATGTTTAAGTACATATTATAATTTGAAAACTAAGACTAGAGATGAGTAAAACCACTGCAGAAAAGGTATGGATTCTTTGCATTTTAGTTAGAAGAGAAAGAGAGCAGGTAAATGGATCTGTGGTTCTGTTCTTTGGCTTAAACATGGGGTTAGAACTTCAGGAATAGAGTTTAGAAATACAAAGATACAGGAAAGCTAGGGAGCAATATTAATTAAGATGTCGACGCACTAGGAGCCCTGACATGGTTTTCATCTCTCTCTACATCTAGGTTTGCTTCAAGAACCAGTCAGCTTCACTTTGTAAATATTCTCTTAAATGAAGTTCATAGTGTTTCAGTGTACGTTCTTCCAGTATGGTCATGTGAACAGTAGTGGAAAAGGAAGCCAAGAGCAGGAGCTTGCTTATTTACTTGATTCCAACAAGACCACACTGCACAAAGAATATTATTGGCAGCTGTGTATCCCATGGAAGAACCAAGGAGAGAGGAAAATCTCAGGTCAAGGCAAACTGCTCCGTTCTGTGTGGCATCTCATTTCTGCAAAGTTCTGTATCTTTCTTATAACACCAATAACTAGGAGCGGGTGTCTGTGTGATCACTTCCCACCAATCTAACTCACCTGGATTATAAATGTCATTATAAATGTCCGAAGAACCCCCATCAATGACATGGAATTCTAATCTTAATCTGTATTATGGATGTGATAACTGTTTCAATCATTTAGGGATAGGAATGCAAAGTTGAAGTTTATTGAAAAAATTTTCCCCATGAATCCTTTGCTTATCTAAGTACTTTTTTACATAGAAGATGGATATTCTGTATCCTTCAAGTAGAGAGATAAGTTGCTTGCTCATGGAATTTTTCAACTTAGGTAATGGATGGTAACATATATATAGTTTTATACATGAATACACACCTATATATGTAAGTAACAGGTCCAAGCACTAATTACACGTATCCTCCTGAAGAATCACTATGATCTTGTTAGGATTATAAAGATAAGATTTTTTACAAATTAGAGAAAATAAAGAAAGATGCCATACACATCAGACAATTTTGGAATGTCATAGAAATTTTATGGTTGAACTCTCTTTCCTGAATTCTGACCATGTTTTAAGCCTCAGTAAAAAAAAATTCCATGTGGCATCAATATCATTTGCTACATTCATACCTCTCAGTAGTGGCTTCAGTCTGGGTCCAGTCTTTGACTTCCATTGACCTGTAAGTTCCTCTTAAGTAAAATGTGGATTGAATCCCAGGTTTGCTTGGAATTTCTAATATGAAGGGTATAGTCTCTTTCCTCAAGAATATCATGTTTTTATTAGTAAACAAGATAAAGTTTCAACAAAGCATGACAAATTTATTACATTCATCTGCATATAGGGGCAAAGAAGAGGATCTACTTTGAAGCAGAATTTATAGTTCTGAATTTCAAGGATCAAAAAAGAAAGAAACTGAAGGAAAAGAAAAAATTGAAACAGAGATGCATTTTCTTTATGCTTTTTTTAGGGGTGAAACATAGCAGAGTGATCAGATGAGACAAGGGACTGTTAGCGGAAGAAAAGAGAAAGATTTCTTAACTGAAGGAAAATTGTCATCTGCAGCAGCAATGAGGACAGGCATCCTGAGGAAAGTGATTCCAGATCTGAGTTTTGATGCATAAATGGGAGGGTTTTTTTAAGTTGGTAATTGAGGGTGATGAGAAAAATACTAATGGCAGAAAAAATGATATTCATTTTCCCCTTTTACACCTTGAAAAGGTAAGTGTGATAGAGAGGATTATGGGAAAGAAAGAGGGTACTTTGTATTTAAAGTACAAGGAATGGGAAGTTGAACATTTTTGTTCACAATGAACATTTTTGTAGGAGATTGAGACACTCCTATCTCCTGTGGCTGTGGTTCTGGCTATGACTGTGAGTAACTGAGAATTTTAAAGGAGTAGCATGAAATGCATGCATGGAAAGGGGACAAAATTTATTTTTATGCTACTTTATATCATAGAAGCGTTAGGTGTTTAAGGTGGGCTTTTGCTGTCAGCAACCTAAAATTGTCCACTTTCCTTTAGCTGCTGAAGTAAATGTTCAAGGAATAGTAGTGAAAGGAGAAGAAAAATGATTTATTAAATTCTAGGAATGTACCTGTATTTCATCATGCAAAACTTTGATGAAATCTGTATTGGAGGAAAGAACTGAGTTTCTGGTTGAATGATTATTTTTTTGCTTCCTTATCCAAATGAAGCTGGTTAGGTTTTAAAAGGCTCCTCAATGACAATTACTTATATAGTTTAAGAAATGGGAGTAAAAGGGAGTCTTCTCTGCCTCACCAGGGTCTTGGTGTGCCTGGTATATGGAAAGAAAATGTAAGAAGCGCTTGCGGATAGCACACAGTATGGTTTTGAATAATCAGATGTGAATGTGTTTCTTGGGATTTGAGGGTGGTTGGACAAGGGGTAGGCATGAAAGTGCAGGGTGAGTTGAAAAAGATTGCTAAGAAGTTGTAATGACTCAGGCCAGGAGATAGGAGTTTCTCCTTCTCTGTGGGTAGAGGTAGATGTTTTAGGAGAAAAGAGAGAGAGAAACCCCCAAATTTTGTTATGATCCCTCTAATACTTGTTAGTTAAGATATATATTTACTGATAGGGAGATTTTGAAAATTGATATCAGCTTTACACTCAGGTACATGATTTCATTGACACAGTTGTTTGGCGGAGCGGATTAAAACGATCCTCCTCAAATGAAACCAGAGTCTCCAACATAATTGTTTCATTTTAAGCAAAACGTCATTGATGGTCAACAGTGACTGGCACATAATAATTGTTTAAATATTTGTTGGCTAAATCAGGGAATGAATGATATGCTTTAGCAATTACTGACAGTATATAAGGGTCTCAGGGAAGTAAAAGACATCCACACCTCAGAAGCATCTACTTGAAACTCATTTGAATTCCCTCCTCTTGACAACATGTGTTGCAAGTACTACAGCAACTCCTGTGGCTATGGCTATGGCTGTGGCTCCCGTTATGGCTGTGGCTATGGAACCAGCTACGGCTGTGGATGTGGCTGTGGCTCCCGTTATGGCTGTGGCTATGGAACCAGCTACGGCTGTGGATGTGGCTCCCGTTATGGCTGTGGCTATGGAACCAGCTACGGCTGTGGCTGTGGCTCCCGTTATGGCTGTGGTTATGGAACCAGCTACGGCTGTGGATGTGGCTCCCGTTATGGCTGTGGCTATGGAACCGGCTATGGCTGTGGCTGTGGCTCCCGTTATGGCTGTGGCTATGGAACCAGCTACGGCTGTGGATGTGGCTCCCGTTATGGCTGTGGCTATGGAACCAGCTACGGCTGTGGATGTGGCTCCCGTTATGGCTGTGGCTATGGAACCAGCTACGGCTGTGGATGTGGCTCCCGTTATGGCTGTGGCTATGGAACCGGCTATGGCTGTGGCTGTGGCTCCCGTTATGGCTGTGGTTATGGAACTGGTTATGGCTGTGGGTATGGCTGTGGATGTGGCTCCCGTTATGGCTGTGGCTATGGAACCGGCTATGGCTGTGGCTGTGGCTCCCGTTATGGCTGTGGTTATGGAACTGGTTATGGCTGTGGGTATGGCTGTGGATGTGGCTCCCGTTATGGCTGTGGCTATGGAACTGGCTATGGCTGTGGATACGGCTCTTGCTGTAGCTGTGGATACGGATCTGGCTCTGGCTGCTGTGGCTACCGACCATTTTCCTTTAGAAGATGCGATTCTTCTTGCTGCTAAAACGTCACTATCAGAGGACCATTTGCTTCTAAAATGACACTCTAAAGATAATGCTGATTCAAGGATTCATACTCCAAGATTCCTGTATCCAAGACATTACATGCTTGAGAGAGTCTTGGGCCTCTAGCCTCACGTTTCTTTGAATGAAATCATGGCCATAGGATCCATGGTATCATCTGACTGTTTTCCAAATGTTATCCTTTGCTCCCTTAAACTGATTCTCTGTTGTGGCTGTGTTAGTGATCATAACATCTACAGTTGGGGAAGTCAATCATTTGCAATAAAAATGGTTCTTTATTTCCAAAAATCTTTGTGTACTTGCTTGCGAATTATTCCTTTCTTGGGGTGTTTTGGCATCTACTGAAATTTGGGCTAACAGTATGTGGGCTGAACCTGAGGTACTTCCTTGATATAATGCAATTATTTCTTTTTGTACTTCCATCATAAATAATGTCGTCTCTACCTGCTTCTCACATGCAACATGCTCAGGCTCGCATATACCCAAGCACAAATCACAAAGTATTCAGAGCTGTGCTTTGGAAATGGCATTGAGTGTCTAGAATGGAGCTAAAGGGGGAAAGGGAAGGGAAGTGACATCTATTAGGACGTTATGACAAAAGTCTCAGAGAGGAGATGAAGGCTGAGTGCTTAATGAGGTAATGTAATCGAAGAGATCATTTCCGGGACTGTTGAAAACTTTGAACCAGACTCAGGTGTTAGGCATGAGGAATCAAAACCTAAGAAAAGGACAAGTTAGAAGAAAAAATGTACTATCAAATTTATCTACATCTGATGGAAGTGCAAATATATTTGCTTACATGGTGGTTGGGAAATCTTATTTAATTCACTTAACAAATATTATTGAATAGGTGTCTCTTAGTCACTGAAGACACAGAAGAAAAATTATAGACAAATGTCCTGCTGTCAGAGTGTTTACAGTCTAATAGATGAAGATTTTAAAAAGCAAAAATAGGTTGGGTGCTGTGACTCACACCTGTTAATCCCTGCACTTTGGGAGGCCGAGGTGGGTGGATCACTTGAGGTCAGGAGTTTGTGACCAGCATGGCCACCATGGTGAAACCACGTCTCTACTAAATACACAAAAATTAGCCAGGCATGGTGGCGGGCACCTGTAATTCCAGCTACTCGGCAGGCTGAGGCACGTGAATCACTTGAACCTGGGAGGCAGAGGTTGCAGTGAGCCGAGTTTGCGCCATTGTACTCTAGCCTGGGAAACAAGAGTGAAATTCCATCTCCAAAAATAAAACAACAAAAATAAAAATAAAAAAGAAAAAAATTATTATAATAAATTAGGACAGATAATTGCTATAGAGGGAATAAAACAGCTTAATGGATATGAGATTAAGGTTTGAGGTACTGGAGAGACAGCTCTGGGAAGTATTTTGAGGTTTTGACATTTGAGCTCAAAATACATTTCCAGCAGCAAAGAAAGGCTAAAAAGGCAGTAGCAAGTGCCAAGGTGTAGAGAAGTTCATCAAGTTTGGGTATGATGAGGGTGATGACACATTTTTCAGTTAGAGAAGAGCAAGGTCTAGTATCTTAATGGAGTTTTTTCAGATTGTGATAAATCTAAAAGTGGGATTAAAGGGCCTGTTCTCGTTTCCTGGATGACTTTCTGATGTGGAGTGTTTACTGCTTTTTGGGTTCTGATTATAGTGTCCTTTCCTCTAGTTCTAGATCATCCAAACTCTATCATTTAAATCTTACAACAGGGAATGTCTTCTGGATTCAGCAGAAACGTGTCACAACCAGCAATAATAAACGTGTCCCTGTTTCATTCACACAACAGGGATTATTACATCAGGTCTGACTCTCTGAGGTTCCTGGAGCTGGGTGACCTCACAAAATGTCTGGCTCCAAGAAAGATATCCCTATAATCAATATCAATCCAGGAGAAAGGCTATGTCCAAGATAGCATCTGTCCAACTGAAGTACAGTTGGGATTTCTTCCAAGAGCAGGCTAGCTTTTACATCTGGAATATTTGTGAGTCAGATTTGAGGACTAACTGCACTCTCTGGAACTCTACTCTGAAGTTATTACAGTATTGCAAGCAGTGGATAACACTTTACATATCTTTAAAATCTCATGTGATTCTCTCAGTTTAAGAAAAGTTTGAGACATTCAGCTTGTGTGAAATGAGAAAATTATGATAATGTTAACAGAGACAGGATAAAATTGGAGAAGTTTGTGTGTGTGTGTGTGTGTGTGTGTGTACACACATGTAGGTGTGGCCTGTTTGGTGGAGGATGGGAAAAATGAATATTTGAATTCACATATGTAATAACATTATAGAGGAAAGGAAAAACTATATTCCACAGTACTTTCTGTGGTCAGAAAATGATTAAAGCTTTAAAAACCTCTCATAAAAATATGAAAGTCTTTATTTTGGGATAAGTTATTACATATTGAAGAGGCTCTAAAACCTATATTGTAAAATTTGTTCTTTAAGTCATTTAACAAACCTTAAAATTTATGTTTCAGCTATGTTCTGTGATTGGTGCTGAGATGGAGAGATAAAACATGTAGTCCATTCTAAGAATTCAAAATCTTCGGCTGGACACAAAATCTCAATCATACATAGCAGGTATGATTGAAGGTATTATGGCATTACAAAGAAGAGCTCAAGGGTGAAACTTAAATCAGAATGTGGAAAGAGAAGGCTTGACAAGGATAAGAAATTGCTTCCAAAGGAGAATGATAGGAACAGAGGCATAAAGGATGAGGTAGATTTGATCAGTTACAAGAGACAGAAAATGGAATCCAAGGCCAAGAAATTCAAGGAAAGAAGAAAACAAGCTGTCAGTTTATGGAAAAGGTAGGAGGCTCTATCGAGAACTTTTAATCAGTGTCCACTGGCATAAAAGAATCATCAGGTCTCTTGGGTGAGCTCCGCTGTCTGATATGGTGCCACTAGCCAGATGGAGCTGTTGAGTGCTCAAAATGGGGATAGTCCAAAATGAAATGCACTGTAAGTGTAAAATATACAGTAGACATCAAAGACTTACTAGAAAAAAGAATGAAAGTGTCAAATACATTATTTATTGTATGTTAAATGATAATATTTTGAGACATTAGGGTGAATGAAATATAATATAAATTAATTCACCTGTTTCTTTTTATCTTTTTAAAATGTGGCCATTGGAAAATTTAAATTTCTCAATGTTTTTCATGACATATTACTATTGTAGAGTGTTGTCCTAGAGGGCCAGTTATAACAAACTGGCCATATAAGGACATTGGCTAGAAAGAGAAGTCACGTGACGTCACTAGCAAAGATGGGGAAGTCTAACCATGCTATCCAGGTATAAGAATAGAACAGTCTGAGGCAATAGGACCACAGTTCCAGTGCTGCAGACTTCAGGGGAGGAGCAAAGTCTCCCATATAGGCAAATTTTTCTTCTGGAATAATTTATTTAGTAAATGTGTGCTGTAGTTTGTTTTGTGCTGCTACAACAGAATACCTGAGACTGAGTAATTTATAATTAACAGAAATTTATTAGCTCATAGTTCTGGTGGCTGGAAAATCCAGTATCAAAGTGGTGAGGGACTTCCTCCTGCATCAAAACATGGCAGAAGGCATCACATGGTGAAAGACCGAGAGAGGGCAAGAGAGAGAAAGAGCAAGACGGGGTGAACCTATTCCCATGATAACAGACTTGCTCCTGTGATAACGGCGTTAGTCTATTTATGAGGGTGGAGCCTTTGTGACTGAAACTCTTTATAATGGTCCTATCTCCAAATACCTTCACGATGGCAATTAAATTGCAACACGAGTTTTGAAGGGGCAAACATTAAACTGTAGCAATGGGATTGATCAATCTCCCATCTGTTTAGATACAAAGATATAATACCTACCTCACACCATATGCATTAGAAATTCCACACTGATTAAAGTTCTGCACATGAAAGTCAAATTATGAAAGTACTAGAATATGGTACAGGGTTTTAGGAATTTTGCAAGCCAGTTGTTAAACTATTGGTAAGTTGAAAGCAGTCATGCTTAGAAATATTTACATCATGAAAATTGGCAAATCAGAAACTACCACTCCCAGAGATCACTAAACAATTAACAGCATGCCACTGTCCATATTCCCACAGTCTCTGGGAAGAAATCTATTTTCAAATGTTTTACAACAGTTATGTATGATTTAAGGGACTGGAGAAAAGAGATATCTATAGAAATCAATGAAAAGTAATCGTATCAATATTGATTGTTTTATGTTCAGAAATCTCTAGCATCCCTTTTAAGTTGATATTCAGATTCTCTACATGAAACATTGTCTTTAGCTCTTCTCTCCTCTGCAAGCCCTCACTTCCTCACAGTAATCCAAATAATCACACTTCTAAAAGCAAAACTGTGTAGCAATTAAGGGTGTAGATTCCAGAGTCATATTACATGACTACTGCTCTAGTATAGGCTTTGTCATTTATTAGCTATGTGATCATGAACACATTATTCAGCTCCTTTGAGCCTCAGTGTATGAAAAGGTAAAATGATAAAATAGTGTTACTTCAGAATTGTTGAGACTATCAGATTAAAGAAAGTATGCCAGCTGTACCACTGTGAAAACTCAGTACATTTTTATTGTATTTATTATTAGGCTGCTATTGTTATATAGCTAATGTTCAACCATTTTTAACATGAAATGATTATTTCATATGGCTTACTCCCATTCTTCAGGTTGTCTGTTTACTTGGTTAATTATTTCTTTTGCTGTGCAGAAGCTTGTTAGTTTAATTAAGCTCCATTTATCTATTTTTGTTTTTGTTGCATACTTTTGAAGTATTAGTCTTGAATTCTTTGCCCTGACCAATGTTCACGAAAAGTTTTCCCTAGGTTTTCTTCTAATATTTTTATTGTTTCAGGTCTTACACTGAAGTCTTTAATACATCTCAAGTTGATTTTTGTATATGATGAGAGATGGGGCCCAGTTTCACTCGTCTGCCTATAGCAATCCAGTTTTCCCAGCATCATTTATTGAAGAGGGTGTCCTTTCCCAGTGTATGTTCTTCTTGACTTAGTCAAAGAACAGCTGGTTGTAAATATATGGTTTATTGATAGGTTCTCTCTTCTGTTCCATTGATCTATATTTCTATATTTATACCACAACCATACTGTTTCAATTACTATATTCTTGTATATATATACATTATATACATATAACATACAATATATGTAACAAAGTATATACAATAAGTTTTGATAAATGAATTTGGTTAAATTTTTTTGGTAAAGTTTTTAGGTTTTTCTTTATATAAGATCATACCATCAGCAAATAGAATACTCAACATTGCTAACCATCACAGAAATGCAAATTAAAACGACAGTGAGGTATTATCTTATATCACTCAGAATGGCTATTACTGAAATGACAAAGAATAACAGATGTTGGTGAGGAGATAGAGAAAATTATAAAGGGAAATTTAAATATTAATTATTATTATTGTTCTCATATAACATCCTCTAAATTAAAATAAAAAAATTTACAGCTGGAAGAAATCTTATAGGCTTTCATTGAAGTTAGTAAGTGCTCTTACTTTGTTAGATTCACAGAAAATAAAGACAAAGTTATTGACCTTAAATAACTGCGAATTATCTGTGGGAACCATATGATCAAAATAAGAGTATGGCAGTGTAACATATTGAGAACTTTAATAGAATTGGGCAAGTGGATCCCTGGAAGAATGTTGGGAGTGATGCTTAATGCATAGTGTGAATGTGCAGGAAGCTTTTATGGGAGATACAGCCTAAGCTGTGCTTTGAAGGATCAGTAGGATTTTGGCAGCTAAAAATTGGAAGTCAGTAGCAAAGACATGGAATCAACTTAAATTGTCCATCAATGGTAGACTGGACAAAGAAAACGTGCTACATATGAAACATGGAACATTATATAGCCATAAACAAGAACAAGATTATGTCCCTTGTAGAAACATGGATGGAGCTGAAGCTATCATCCTTAGCAGTAAACTAATGCAGGAACAGAAAACCAAATACTGGAAGTTCTCACTTGTAAGTGGGAGCTAAATGATGAGAACACATAGACACAAAGAGGGGAACAACACACGCAGGGGTCTACTTGAAGGGGGAGGGTGGGAGGAGGGAGAGAATCAGAAAAAATGACAGTTGGGTACTAGGCTTAGTACCTGTGTGATGAAATAATCTGTACAACAAACTCCCGAGATATGAGTTTACCTATATAACAAACTTGCACATTTACCCCGAACCTAAAATAAAAGTTAAAAAAAATTTGGTAAAGTGGGCAAGATGTTCCAAAGAAAGTAACATATTGAAAAGTTCCAAGAAATCTTAGGGTGGTCACGGGGCATTGGAAAAAAAATCCTGTTGCTTTTATTTTGCTATATTGTATCTGACCTCTGTTTTACATCATTTCAGATCTTTGCCTCAACTGTCTCTTGCTCTAGCCATCATTGCAGTGGCCATCCTGCACAGGCTCCATCTACTACCTAAGAATGCCTCATTTTGTGCCTTTGCTGTTTGCTTCTCCCCTCTGGTCTGGGGATTTCTTGTTTATTATTGAGATAGAAAATGCTAGGACATCTCCCTGTGTCCACGTATGAGTGTACCTGGAAATATAGGAGAGATAATGGCCTCTGGAATAAAAAATCTAAATTAGGTTTGATTACATTCCACAAGGCATGTTTGTTCCACATGTGGGTTACAGCTGTTTTCTTACAATTCTCATGACTGGCTGGGGGCAAATCCTGGACATAATTACCTGAAGCACTCATTGTCCTTAGAATAATGAGCTTTGCAAAAATGAAAATTGCTGTGGTAATGAGGCCACAGAGTCTGTGTTCTGTGCTCCACCCACCTCTGGTGGTATATAAAGGTCTCAGGGCAGAAGATGACATTTAGACTTCAAAATCACCCCACTGCTTCTCTACGGAACTACTAAACACAGATCTCTAGACACCATGTGTTGCAACTACTACAAAAACTCATGTGGTAGCTCTGGCTATGGCTGTGGCTGTGGCTATGGCTCTGGCTATGGCTGTGGATATGGCTCTGGCTACGGCTGCGGATATGGCTCTGGCTACGGCTGTGGATATGGCTCTGGCTATGGCTGTCGCTATGGCTGTGGCTATGGCTGTGGTTATGGCTCTGGCTACGGCTGTGGATATGGCTCTGGCTATGGCTGTCGCTATGGCTCTGGCTATGGCTGTGGCTATGGCTGTGGATATGGCTCTGGCTATGGCTGTGGATATGGCTGTGGATATGGCTCTGGCTCTAGCTGCTGTGGCTACCAGCCATTTTGCTATAGAAGATGCTATTCTTGCTGTTAGAAAATAACTGTCATGCATCATGTCTTCTAAAATGACCATTTTAAGGCCATTTATGTTTGAATATCCTACAATTCCATCAAATTTTACTGACTAGAGAGTAGTCAGAGCCTGAAGAAAACAGATTGTCTTGAAATCCTGCTGCTATTGTGAGGGCCTGAGGTGCTCCATGATGTTTCTGGAAGACAGAAGACCTAACTCTGGCCATGGTCCAAATATAAACCTACTACCGTCTTATTTTATGTTTCCATATTGTGACTATTTCCAAATAAACAAGTTTCATTGGCCCTAAAAAGTTTTTCTATTTTTTCTTGTTTCAGACATGCTATTGACTTATATTTTTGTTTTGGATTTCTATGACCTCTTCAAAGACTGGGTGGGCTAATTCTAAGCTGCTCATTTTAATTGTGCTTTCCATTCTGCTTGGTCAGTGCCTGCGACATACTAGATGTCACATATTTTAGATATCATCCCTGAATAAATAGCTTCTTATTGGCTGAGTCTTGTGTTCTTAATTTATTTTAATTAAGACTTTGTTCTTAAGCAGTTGTGTTTCATGACTCTGGATCTATCTATTTTTTTCCATGTTAATCAGCAATAATGCACTATGCACACATACACACACTGAATGCCACAGAAAACCTGCTTCAGGAAAATGCTAATAACACAAAAATGGGTTGGAATGGAAGAGACAGATAGCTCAAAAGGTAAGTGTAATAATGATTAGGAAACTAGTTAAAGTGGTCTGCATTTCAGTGAAGGTAATGAAAAAGAACAGATGAGCATCAGAGACTTGGTGAAGTAGAACCTGTAAGATGTTAGACTTCAATAGGGAAAGAGAATGGAGAGACATCTAGGGAAGCAAATATCTAAAAAGTCTATGTTTCTCCTTAGCACTTAGAATTGTGGGGAATTTGGGGTGGTATGTATAGTTATATATCTTCAAGACTGGTGTTGCAAAATTAGTAATACTAGTTTTGCAGATGTGCCCTATGTCTTTGTTGAGAAACTAATTAGATTAAATGTATAACAACAGCATAAATTCCTAAACACAAGATCTCTTTTTAATATGTGACACCATCTGAAACAAGAATTACTTCCTCACTAGGCGCTCTATTATTGGATGTGTTTAAACCCAGATTGGTTCTCTCACTGTTAAGAGTTATTCTAGGAGGAAGTTACAAAGTCAGAGAGAGGTATGGAATTAACTGATCTTATGTATCTATTTTTACCCCCATCCTATTCTAGGATACTATAGAAATTGATTTGAGCTTTGAAGCCTGATTGTGAATATGGTGATGCTGATATATAAAAAATACAAAACGAGAACTTCTATGTTTCTATATCCGGAAGGAGGGGCTAATTGTAATATGTCAGGCTGTAGAAATCCAGTATTCATTTGGGATATAAAAAGACAGAACTGGAGTCAAGATTCAGCCATCCATGGTCAAATAAATCCTGTGTTACTAGACACCCTTGAAACTGGAAAGAAACTGACGTCTTGAGAAGATGTAGGACCAAGGGCATGGATGAATAGATTGTTTTCTCGAAGATGTAGAACCACTTCTTAATTAGATAACTGTGAAGTCTCATTCATCAAATATTTATTGTGCTCCTAATAAAACACATTTCATTATATGCTATGAAGAGCGAGGTAAAATATTTCATCCTTGCTTTTCAAAAGTGTAGGAAAGGCATAAAAGGCCACAGGCTACAAAGATCAGAGTATTGCTATAAAAGAGTTACACACGGAAGTATTTGAGAAGTACAGGGGAAGAAATCAGAAGGAGGGCCAAGATTAAGAAAAAGTAGAAAGAAGGATGAGAAATCTTTCTAAAAAAGAGACAAATTTCTAGCTGAAATATGAAGGATGAATAGAAGTTCATCAATCATAGAAGAAATATCCTTCTAGGCAGGGAAGAAAAAATAAATATTTAATGGTTAAAATGTACATATTTGAGTGATGAATATAATAAAAACCCAGACTTTACAACTACACAATATATCTATGTAACAAAATTGCACTTGTACCCTTTAAGTTTATGCAAATGAAAAAAGGTCATATATTGGAATGTTATTGCTATAGCCATCATCTCTCTTGGAAGAAATGTAATCACAGTTGAGCCAAAAAGAAAAAAATTGCAGGTGTGAGTAATCGCTATTCTTAGATGGTCCCAATAATCTGTACCTTTGTGTAGTTTACTATCCTTGAATGTGGGAAGGACTGATAAGCTGTTTCTAAACTTAGTGAAGATGGTGGGCTATCCCTTCTGTGATTACATTTTGTTTAGGGTAGGCAGATAAAACACAAAATAAACCAATGTGAATTTCATATTAAAATATATATCTTTTTTAGTATAAGTGTGTTTCATGCAATATTTGGGGCATATTTATAGAATCTGGCAACTCAAGCTATGTGGCAAAGAAATTTTGCAGATGTCTTGGCTGACACCTTAATTACGATAATGTGAGACCTTGAGGCAAGATCCCAGCTAGGTTGTGCTTAGACTTCTCATCTATGAAAACGGATATAATAATGGATATTGTTTCAAGCTGCTATTTTGGCGATGATTTGTTATGCAGTAATAGAAACCTGTTACCATAGACTTCTTCTGTTCTCTGTATTACCTCGTAAGATGTGTGTTGTATTGGATAACCACGATAACATATCTGCACACAGCAGAGATTAGGAAGCCAGCCATTCCAATGAACATCAAGGACAAATTATTTTCAAGTGAAAATGAAAAGGTGAGAGGCACTATCAGCCATATTTGGTGTGAGTGCCCTGGGCATAAAACATTTAAATAAATTTTATCTAGGATCCCAAGTGACACTGAGAAAAATAAGAGACCTTAAAGCATATGGTGTATTTTATAATAGAATAATTACACAGTGAAGTAGATAACCACACAAAATAATGAGATCCCTGTTACAATAAGTGTTTAAGCTTTTGATGATCAGGAGGCGTGATTTTATGTAGCACAGCACAGAAGAATACATACTTGTGCTTCATGTGTGCCTTTAGTAAGTTTCCTAACATTTTTTTTGTGCCTCAGTATCTATAGTATGATACCTACTTCTTTCATGTTTTGATTTCAATTAAAATAAAAATATTCAAAGGAATGTAAAATTTATAAAACATTCAACAGCTGTTATCATAAAGGATATTCATTTGTTGTTGTTCTAGTTTGAACTAAATAAACATCTAGAGCTGATAAATATTTGTTAAGGAATTTCTCCAGGAGTGAATATATGCTATCAGGATATTACATTTATGGCTATTTGAATTCATAGGAACTCTGTAACATGAAATGTTGAGAAGTTTCTGTATATGGCAGCATTGGGTTCCAATGACATCACTTACAAAGGAACTGGTAATTAGCAGGCTAGTTAAAATAATTGGTCAGACTTGTTTTAATGATTGCATTTTTAAACATCAACTGCACAATCCTCCACAAAGCCTTGATATATAAAATATATCTTTGGAATCATGTGTTCAGATGACTGGCTAATGGATAGAAACAGTTCTTAGAGATTTGTAATTGGCTCAAGACAATGTCTGGATGACCAAAAAAAAAAAATGGATCCTCAATGAAACTGGAAAATCTATAGTAATGTGTTTATTTAAGGCATACACTGTAGCTATGAAAACACCAGGCCCTCTCAAGTATCAACCGAGTGGGCTGATTTGCACATACTAGGTATTAAACATTTTTTACATGAATAATGAAATTGATGGTATGTCCTGGCTCTTTCTATTAGGATGTAAAGGTTCTAGGGTTGTATGTTACATTCAAACTTCAGAAAAATCCTTCTGTACCTCCACCGAACTCTCACCTTCTGGCACCATGAGTTTCAACTACTGTGGGAACGCCTGTGGAGACTGTGGATATGATTCCAGATACAAATATGGGTCTGGTTCTGATTGCAGCTGCTGTATCTACCAACCATTTTGCTACAGAAGATGCTACTCCTGTTGCTGCTAGAACATCTTCTTAGAACCTACCTTTGAAATGATATGGTAAGATTAATACTTCTTCCCAGAGGATATCCCGTTTCATCATCTCTCTACATTCATTTAAGGATTGGATATTCTCTGTGTTTGCTTCAACACAAATCTATTTGTTATTGAGAAGATATGAATGATCCCATTATGTTACCTGGAGACAGAAGATTTTATTCTAATTATATTCAAAATGTAAATTATTGGTTCTTCTATTGATTTTCCATGGTCCATGAACATAAATACTTCATAGTTGGAGAAAATTATACTTTTTTCATAAACAAATTTAACTTATTTTTGTAAAAATTTGTAGGTTTTTTTCTGCTGCACTCATCACTGCTTTAGTGTTTGTGTCTTCCCTGAAATTTCGGGCAGGCAGTGTATTAGTGGAGCCTTAGATGTACTATTCCTTCAACAATTACTTATTTATTGCTAATTCTTTCATCAATATCACATAGTTTTGTTTTGGTAGTATTGCAGTAACTCGATATTAGGTGGTGTGAGGCTTTCAACTTTGATTTATTTTCAAAACTATTTGACCATGAGTACAAAATTACAGTTAGACAGAATAAATTTTGGTGTCCCATTACCCAGTAGAGTGACTATAGCAAAAAACAATGTATTGTATATTTCAAGATAGGTAGAAAGATTTTGAATGTTATCACTATAAAGAAATGACAAAGTTTAAAATGATGGATATGGTAATTATCCTGATCTGATCATTGTACCATTGTACTATGTATATGTGCCTTGAAACATCACATTTTACATCATAAATATGTACAATCATGTGTCAATTACAAATTAAGTAAAATATATTGGCTGTTCTAATTATTTTGCCTCTGCATCTAAACATTGAAGTCAGCTTGTCAATATCTATAAATATATCCTGCTTAGATTTTGATAGGGATAGAGTCAAACTCATAGATCATTTCTGGGAGAATGAACATCTTAACAATATTGAGTCCAATCCATAAATATGGCATTAATATATCTCTGTATGTATGTATTTCAGAATAAATTTTGGTGTTCTGTTACACAGTAGAGTGTCTATAGCAAATAAAAATGTATTGTATATTTCAAGACAGGTAAAAATATTTTGAATGTTGTAACTGTAATTAAATGATAGAGTTTGGGGCCAGGCGCAGTGGCTCACCAGCACTTTGGGAGGCCAAGGTGGGCAGATCACAAGGTCAGGAGATCGAGACTATCCTGGCTAACACAGTGAAATCCTGACTCTACTAAAAATAAAAAATAAATCAAAAAAATTAGCCAGGAGTGGTAGTGCAGGACGTAGTACCAGCTACTCAGGGGGCTCAGGTAGGGGAATCGCTTGAACCCGAGAAGCAGAGATTGCACTAAGCCAAGATTACACCACTGTACCCCAGCCTGGGTGACAGAGCAAGACTCCATCTCAAAAAAAAAAAAAAAAAAAAAAAAGATGAAGCTATGAGAATGCTTAGAAGAAGGGTGTACCTCATAGCACTTTGTGCTGAAGACAAGAAAATATACTGATTTTCTCCATGTATTTACGATTTTTATATAGAAGATAGATTAAAATTAGTCTCTTGGTTCCAGGAGCCAGAATTAGATGAACATGTTTGAATTACAAAAAGGCAGACTTGTTATATAATATGTGACAGTTTTCTAAATGTAAGAGCCAAACAATGAGATTTGGTGCTGGAAAGGGTTATTCAGCTCTGTGTGTGCTTGAGTGTGGGATAACTTACTATTTATTCTGGTTTTTATGAGGTAACTAAGACATACAGGAACTGGATAAACCTAACAGAACCTTAATATTTCTTACTACAGTAAGTTTTGAAAATGTTGATTCTGTAATTTAAATAGTGACTATAAAGTGTAGAGTCAAAGTCACTGAAAAAAGTGGTAATGTTCTTAAAAGCAACTGGAAAGGGGTGAGAGAAAGAACTTTTTATAGGTTTGGAAGTTGACCAGAGATGATGAGCATATTTTGAATATAATGGCTGAGGTGAGGCAATAACCATAGCAGCAAAGTAAGGCAGGTCTTTCAGATTTTGTGAAGTATCTGCAGAGGCTTAAACCTAAAGAGGATGCAGGAGATACGATGGAGTCTTCTAGATATAACATCATGTCAGGAGATAAACTATTTCATGTTATCCAAAAGCTGCATTAGAGACTTATTGTGGATATACTAAGGAGGAATCAGAGAAACAAATATGCATACAAGGGTCTAAAGCTACATAGAATCTCCCCATCCAGGATGGTGAGAGCTTTAGGTTGTACAGAAACTACTAACAAAAGGAAATTTGTATAATAAAATGAGATTGTTAAAGACAGGAAGCCAAGAGCTCCCACAAGCTGTAAACATTCAAGAGAGGTTACTAATTTATCACCGGAGAAAATTATAGGTTGCATGTTGGATCAGGAACACTTGGAAAATGTGATTTTGATTTGGACTCTACCCTTCTGTGCCTGAGTCTCCTCTTTTGCTAAAACGATGTTCATCATTCCTAGTTTGGTGGTTTCACAGGATGATGTTAAGTCTCGAATACAGATAACTGAGAAGGAAATATTTTCCACAGAAAAAGCATTCACAGGTGGAGAAAACCATCTTGTTGTGTGTGGAATTGGATAAAATCACATTTTGATTCAGATTAAACTGGCATTGAAGGGAAAAGAGGGTAAAGAGGGGAAATGTATATTTGCTATCACGTGATGTTCACAGAACTTTTCGAGTTGACCTCATGAATCAGGAGGGCTCTTTCATAATGACACATTACTCATCACTTCCAAAACCTTCATCTGCATTGTGGTCACACTTCCAAACAGAGAACGACTTCACTTTTACATAGCAATCCTATGACTATCAGGGAATGCAGAAACTTACTTTCTCCCTATTTAATACACGGGCACGTTCCCAAGTTAGGTGCTGGTCAATTTAATACATTTTCATGGTTATGAGATTTAAAATATGCAATGAAGCAAAGCCCTGTGATGTGTTGCTTGATGTTATATTTTTACAAAACATTATGGTATAAAATGCTTCAGGCAAGGTAAGCTTAGGTCAATTACATGGAAGTTCATTTTCTGAGAGCATCTGGTCGCTTTTGAAAGTGTATTATAAAAACATTAATTGACATGTATATTTATACATATGTATATCACATTTTAAAAATAGCAAAATTAAAATTCAAATCTCAAAATTTTAGTATAACAAACAGATCAATACAAGTATATACAGAAATCTGAAAAGCTGTTACTATTTAAGAATGTTTTATTTGGGTAAAAGAAAAGGGGAAAAGAAAGAAAATATGTTGTCTCCACTACGTATTAGGATTATTGCTACTCTCTTTATATTTCCTATGTATTTTCTGTAGGCCTATTGATACAATTTTAAATAAATGTAATTATTTTTATTCCCATTTGGCAGTTGCAGAAACTGAGGTTTATCTAAATTGAAGACACTTTCTATGGTCATATAATTAGGAATCCAATCAGTCAGGAAATTAATCTATCTGTTTTCCAGGGAAAGCTATTTCTACCACAGAGCCTCTGGAACATGGAGGAGAGACTGTGCTGGTTAGCAGTTTATGGCCCCTCAGCATCCAATTCATCTTTCAGTAGATGCTCTGTGCGGATAGATGGGGTTCCTTTAAGTATTTCTCCTTCACTGTGAGCATGGCTTCAAGGTTTCTCAGGAGAGGATGCAACAGGGACACGCAGTAGGAAGCAGGGCTCCTGCATTCTGAGGTGCAGCACAGGAGAGGAGTGGAGAGTATTGGCAGCGTGGGTGTGAGGACATCTAGCAAAACTCCATCTCAGACTTGGATTAGGAATATCCTGGATCCTGAGGGACATTGAGCTTTAGCCCGGAAAGAACCTTTACTTGGTCCTGTCTATTTGAAAACTAGCACCTTAGAGATTGTGCACTCATGAGCCCCCTACTCTTGTAGGGCTCCTACACAAACAGACACCCAGATTCCCTCTACCGGATGTCCCTACCCGCTCTTGAGAGTCTGCCTGAGGCCCACGGCTTCCCAGTCTTTTACATGCCTACATCTCTAGACGGGTATTGCTTGTTCACCAACTCTGCTCCAGAGGGTCGCCTGCTGTCTGCCTGGTGACTGCAGAACAAGTTTTATTATTCAGTTATTCATTTTATTGAGATATAATTGATATAAAAGTATACATTTTAAATGTATATAATTTCATGAATTTGGACATATACATATGCCCATGAAACCATTTCAACAGTAAAGGTAATAGAAATATTCATCATCTACAAAAGATACCCCCTTTGCTCTCTTTGGTAGGAATACTTAACAGGATATCTACTCTCTTAATAAGTTTTTCAAAGTATGTAATATGGCATAGTTAACTATAGCACAACAACTTTAATACATTCATCCAGAGGGTAGAGTGCCTTTTCTAAGTTTGCTTTTCCTTCAGTATTCTCCTGCAGTCTTGGAGTAGCATATAGATTCTTCATATCTTAAAAATGCTCTGTTATTATAGTTTATAATTTTTATATAAAACTTTTCCTATTAAACTAGCTGTGTACTTCTGTCTCCTGATTGGGCCCAGACTGATGGAGACAATTTTAGTTTTAGGAGTTATTCATATATACATGATATTGGAATGAGGGGTAGCAGAGAAGATTTGAAGATTTACTAGTGTGTAAAGTGAGAAGCAGAGATGGAGGGTGAAGTAATCACAAGAACCCCAGAATTTAGGAAAAAGAGCGTTCTCAATGAAGAGCACTCATGAATTATGAATTCATTTATCATAGAAACAATGGGAGAAGATCAAGAATGAACAAGAAATATATAGAAAGGTCAACTCTTATTAATGTCATAATGTAAAATATCAAAAAATTTTCTTACACATAAAAATCATTATTAAAATTTTGTTTTGAAGAATAGAAATGTGACTAAAATCAAGATAGTACTGTGGAAGGATTAAATCAAGCCAATTAACAAGTCCAGTATCTCACATATTTATACATATTGTTGTGGTGAAATATTTAAAATATACTCTTTCAGTAATTAAAAAATATATGATGCATTATTAATTATTATATTCAGCAATCTGTGCCAGAGATTACTAAATCCGATTTCTACTAACTAAAATTTTGTATCCTTTGAGCAACATTTCCCCATTCCCCATCCACTCCACTAGATGGAGTTATAAATTATTGATTGATTACATTTTAGTGGGAAACACTGGTGTATAGAACAAGCATGAGAGTACTCTGAGTAAGTTCAAACATGACGTATGTTTAAGAGTTGGACCCTATAGTTGGATTTCAACAACGGAGAAGCTGTGAACCAAGGATTTACTCTCGTTCAAATTAACATTCTTGGAAAGTTTGTTTTTAAAATAATAAATGATACATCTTCTTACATAACTGATCTGTCACAAGTTTAAAAACACTTTTTCGTTCAAAGAAGGAAGAAAAGATCATAAACTGCATGGAGAAGAAGGAAATGGAAAACTTTTTTTTTCCAGAGATAAGTAGAGGATTTCAGAGAGTGGAGGTAGCACGTGGACATACCCAATTGCCTGTCCAAAATCCCTGAAGAGATTTTGAAGTATTTGTGATTAAAAAACCCGAAAGTGTTAGGAAAGGATAAGAATAAATGATAGTGTTATCAAGAGCAGTGAATAGAACTTCTGATTTAATAGATGACTCCCAAGGTCTTACAAGAGCAGAATGGTAAACATACATTTATAGGTCAAACTGGTGACGTGTTATGTCATAACCATGAGTGAAATTATGGCAAATAAAATTATGGTTGTATAAACTTGCATATTTGGAACTTGTATGTTTTCTTTTCGGGGATGAAAATATTCCTAGGGAAGCTATAAGCAAATTATGAATTCCTAAGGAAGTAGATGTACACAGATGGAGGTCATTTTAGGCAAATGATTGTGAAATGAGCAGATAGAGTCATGTGAGGATGACCCATGCATTCCTGGAAGTATATAAAGGTCTTGGAAGAGTGGAAGACACTCACACTTCAGACATATCCTCCTACAGCTCCGCGGAAATCTCACCTCCTGACATCATGTGTTGCAAGTACTACGGAAACTCCTGTGGGGGCTGTGGCTACAGCTCTGGCTGGGGTTCTGGCTGTGGATATGGTTGTGGCTCTGGCTATGGCTGTGGGTATGGCTCTGGCTGTGGCTATGGCTGTAGATATGGCTCTGGATATGGAACAGGCTGTGGCTATGGCTCTGGCTGTGGATATGGCTGTGGATATGGAACAGGCTGTGGATATGGCTCTGGCTGTGGATATGGATGTGGATACGGCTCTGGCTGCTGTGGCTACCGACCATTTTGCTACAGAAGATGCTATTCCTCTTGCTGCTAATCATCTCTACGGATCATCCTTACGTTTGCAGTGACCATTCCAAGAGCAAGTTCAGTTTAAATTTTCCCTATCCACTATCTTCACATCTAAGTAAAGATTGACTGTGGTCCATCGACTACCTGAATGCATATAAGAGAAGCTGTTTGCAGTGGATGGAGACTGAGTAGTGACATCACATCACTGAAGAGAGGAGATCTATTCTGATTAATTTTGAAATGTAAATTCAGACATCTTTTTTCCATCATTCTGCCATGGCTATTTGCAGAAGCACAAGAGGACTGTATAATTGGAAGTATTAGAATGGAACAAAAATGGAATTTTCTGAATAAAAGTCCTTATTCACTAAAAAGTCTCATCTCCTTAATGTCAGATTCATCATTTATTGAAGGGTTTGTGGCTTCCTCAAAAGGTGAGGGACAATGTTATCTTATTAGTTGAATCCAAATGCTGATGTTTAACATATTTCTTAATTCCTTGTATGTAAATTATTTATATTTGTATTTAAATATAAACACAAATATCACAGTCAAAATTTCAAATAATGAATAAAAAAGATTAGAATTAGAACATGTGAACACAGGGAGGGGAGCATCACACACTGCAGTCAGTAGTGGGGGGGGAGGGTCAGTGGGGTGGGAGGGTGTAAAGGAATAATGAGGGGAGAAATACCAGATATAGGTGATGGGGGGATGAAGGCAGCAAACCACCTTGCCATGTATGTACCTATGCAGCAATCGAATATGATCTGCACATGTACCTCAGAACCTAAAGTACAATAATAATAATAATATTAAAAGGTTACAATAGAATGAAGAAAGAGACAGGGAATCTACGAACTGATTTCGTTTTGTCAGTCTCTGAAGAAAGTTGGCCATTCTATGATATATTTTAAATCTAAGTAAATTTTTTCGTATATCTTTTTAAAACTTTCTTCCCTCAGCAAGATTGCATTAAGACATTGATTTCTGATACTATACGTGCATTTAAATGGCTACTTCTTATTGCTATATGGTACTTCATGTAGCTCATACACAAGATTTTGCCTTTTTACTATCTCAGTGATACATACACAACCACACCCAGCACGGCTTCAGCACAACATTGCTGTAATGAACACACTTCCCCTATGGGTTTCTGAAAGAGTCAATCCCGGAATCTGAATAGTTGATACAAGTTGCATGTTTATCTTTAATTTTTCTAAGTTTTCCCCTGTTAGCCTCCAGAACGTCTGCACCAGCCTAAACCCTCAAATTGCACTTCCCTGTTCTTACATGTTTGAATACTTGTTTTGTCTAATTTTCTCATATTGCTTGTTTGCACAGTAAAAATATTATCTTGCTGTTGTAATTTATTCATCTTTGATTACTAAAGCATTTGAACAATTATATTTCTTCCAATATATATTAATCTTCATGGTTTCTCTTTCATATCCCTTTCTCCATTTTAAAAATGGATTTTTTTTTGCTTTTTTGGAGTGATTTATAGGAATTTATTACATATTCTTGATAAATTCCCATGTCATTTTTAGGCACTGGAAAAACCTTGTAAACTGTCATTTGTTTATTTTTGCTAATAGTGTGCACAATTGCACAAAGATTAACTGTCATTTCTGATTTTGTAGTTTTCTGTCAAAAATATTCTACATTTTCACATAATTTTAAAGTTTCACATTTTGCTTTCAGATTATTAACCCACCTGGAGTCCACCTTTATATATGTCGGTCCAGTTTCATTTTACAGTATGCTGAGCTGGGTTCTCCAGTACCACCTACTACACAGCCCACTGACACTGCTTAGCGTGGCTACCTTTAGTCTATGTTGTTATGAACTATACACGAGTTCAGCGCTGAAGCTTGCAGCATCCTTATTTTACATTTATGTTTCTTAGCATTTTTCAAAGGTTTTGTGTGTGGGGTTCTGTGTGACAGAGAATTCGGTTTATTCTGCTTTGTTTTTCCACTGATGACAACTGCATTTGATAGCCAGACTTTAAAGACATCAATTTTACTATATAAAACATTTTTCTAATCGGTAAAGCAGTATGAAGATGGAATTAACTGTCTTGTTGGCATCCTTGTTGTGAAGGAATTGAAAGATTTGGATCTCCACATACTAGAAAATTCCAAGTAAATTTGCACTCAGAACATAAACTTAATTAATTGATTCATATCATTCACTTCTACTTTGAAATACTGTGACTCTATATGTGAAGAACCATTGGAGGTTAACTGTAAGTAACCTGGATAATAACAATATGGCTTTTAAAGTGAAAAAATAATGATCATTTTATTACAGAGTTAGAATAAAGAATGTCAGGTTTCAAGTAAGCTTTGAGGTATCCAATCTGCTGTTAGTGCCAGTATTAATGGATTTCCAGGAACAATGATTTCCAGAGCAAGAGAAAGAAAGTCACCAAATTCAGGAAGGCAACGAAACACACTGCCAAGTGTGTACCTATGCAACTATTTTGCATGTTCTGCACAGGTACCCCAAAACCTAAAATGCAATAAAAAGAAAAAAAAAGACACCAGATTCATAACTTCTAGGCAGAGAAACTCATTAGAGTGGTCAGATATTATTGCAATAATGTGCAATAATGTGCAGGATCTATTTCAGTTATTGAAAAGATATCAGGAACTACTCACTGTGAAATTCGTATACCACTAGAAAGAAATATCTAATTACAAAGAAGGACAGCAAGAGAGGAGCAAAGGAATAAAATGATTCATTAAAACATCCAGATAATGGGAAAATTCTGATGGCAATTCTTTAGGTATCAGGGATTGTGTTGAAAGAAAATAAATTTCTCAGTTAAAAGAAAATGTGGTTGAATATGTATATATATATATGACTCAACTAGAGGTTATTTACATTTACAGACACACACAGATTGAAAGTGCAGGGATGGAAAAAGGTATTGCACACAGAAATTGAATTCAAAAAGACCAGATGTAGATATATTTATGTCAGGTAAAATAGATTTCACATGAAAACTAAAACAAGACAAATCATGTCATTATACAATAATACATGGATTAATCCATTAAAATGATATAACAATTATACATACATGTGCACCTGACATCAGAGCAGCTAAATATATATTAATTTATCTAAACAGAGAGAGACACATATACAAAGAGAAAGAGAGAGAGAGAGAGAGAGAGAGAGAGAGAAAGATAGAGAGAGAGAGAGAAAGATAGAGAGAGAGAAAGAGAAAGATAGATATATAGAGAGAGTATAATAATAGTAGAGGATGCAGAGGACAGCAATACCCAACCTGTAGCAATGGACAGATCATCCATACAGAAAATAGATAGGTAACTGTTAGATATGAACTAGACATTAGGCAAATGGTCCTAACAAACATAAAAAGAACATTTCATCCAACAGCAGCAGAAGACAATTCTTCTCTAAGCATGGGAAACGTTTTCGAAGACACATCACATAACAGGCTACAAATAGTCTTAACTTATTAAAGAAGATTGTGATCTTACCAAGTATCATTTTCAGTCACAATGATATGAAATCACAAATGAAAAGTTGGATAAATTTAGGAAAATTGGAAAATATATAGAAACTAAAAATATCATTCTAAAAATGAGAAAAATTAAAAGTATTTTGAAACAAATGAAAATAAAATCACAACATATCAATATTTTGGAATGCAGCAGAAGGCAGAACTAAGACGGAATTTTGTAGCAATAAATGACCCCATTAACTAAGAGAAATCTCAAGGAAAGGAAACAAAGAAATGAACAAACAAACAACAAAAAACCTAGCTTTACACCTCAGGAACAAAAAGAACAAATAAAGTCCAAAATTCATGGAAGAAATAAATGAGTACATAAAAACAATCACAGCAGAAATAAAAAAAAAACTAGAAATCAGTAGAAAAAATAAATAAAACTAAGCGTTTGTTTTTGAAAAGCTTACAAGATTAATAAATTGTTAGCTGGACTAAGAAGAAAAAAGAAAATTCAAGTAAACAAAATCAGAAATGAAAGAATGATCATAATCGACACTACATAAATATAAATAATTGTGGAGGTAACTAAGTGTAATTATATTCCAGCAAATTGGATAACTTAGAAAAAATGGATAACTTTATCAATATGTACAACTACTCAAAGTAAATTTTGAAGATATAAACAACATGAACATGCCAACTACAAGTAAGGAGATTGAATTAGTGATAAAATGACCATCATAGGAATGCCCACGAATTAATGACTTCAATATTGAATCCTACCAAACATTTTAGAATGAATATCATCTTTTCAAACTCCTCCATAAAGCTGAAGATGAGGATATATATTGATATTTATTTTGTGAGGCCAGCATTGCCCTGATACTAAAGCCAGAGAACACTATAATAAAGAGAATTATAGGCCAGTATTCCTGACAAACATAGGTGCTACAATTCTCAACAAAACATGAGCAAACTGAAATAAGCAGCACATTAAAACATTCATTTATCATGGTCATTTATTTCTGAAATGCAAGAATCTTGAACATACCCAAATCAATAAACACGATATACCACTTTAATGGAGTAAGGAACGAAAACCATATGATCATCTGAATGATGCAGAAAAAGCATTCAAAAATATTTAACATCCTCTTGTAATTAAAAAATCTCAAAAATTGAGATGTAGGGGAAAAGTGCCTCAACACAATGGAGGCCATATTCAGTAAGCCCATAGTTAACAAAACACTCAGCAGTAAAAAACTGAAAGCTTTTCCTGTAAGATCAAGAATAAGAAAAAGATGCCCACTTATGATACTGAACACGGTGTTAATGTTATGTAAGTAGTTGTATTGATTTTGTTATTTTTATTGTTGATTTAGATTTTTTTAACCAAATAATTCTGATCTATAGTTTATCAAATCTAGAGCTTATTGAAACATGGGTGTAGAACTCATGACTACAGAAAGCATGTATATACAATATACATGTTTACAGAATACAGAACATGAATACAGAAAATATGTGTATACAATATATATACCACATATAATTATAACATAGTTACAGCAACATGAAAGTAACTCTTAAAATTTTAGGATAAAATAGGTGTAAATGTAAGTACATGCAGAAATTTGAAAAGTTATTATTTGGGAGTGTTTATATTTGGATAAAGGGTATGAAAAAAAAGAGAAAGTATTGTCTCCACTATATGCCAGGATCCCTGCTACCTCCCTTATGTTTCATATATGCCTCGACACATTGTTAAAGTCCATATGGTTAGTTTTAATTCCATGTGGTAGTTGCAGAAACTGAGGTTCATACAGGTTGATGGTATTTT